TTCCCTTCCACACGCGTGGGTTTACATCCTCATACCACAGCAGAGGGGCACTGCATCATAACGGGAACTCAACTCGCCATTCCGGGAACTGAACAAGCCACCAGTGGTCACGTGCTCTATGCCCGCTGCTCGGTGGAGTCCACGGTTTTAATCTCTCTGCCAACACATTGCTGCCCCGTCTGAGCGAGGCGGCGCTGTGTTGTAAGTTGCGGTATTGCCTGGCACAGCTGCACCGGCGAGATAATGGGGAGCTTTATTTATTTTAATTTTGAGCCCTCGTTTCACGTCTGCTGATTGAAGCGATGTCCAGAGCCTGCGGGGGTGAACACTACACCCCGAGCAGACGCAGCAGGCGAATTCCACACTATCGCTGCACTGGATGGGCGGACAAAGTACGTCGTGACCAAATCGGTGAAAGCGTCTACCAGGACTTGGAATGTATCGGGTAGACTCACAGACTTGCAATTGCATTTTATTGTTTTATTTTTATTATTTTATTAACATAATAAAATGCAATTGCATTTTATAATGTTTGATTTTTATTATTTCCCTTCTACGTGATTTTACAGAAAGAACCAAGAAGATGAATTCCTGCAGTCACGAAAGCTTTCAATCGAAATTGTGGGATACTGCTACACCATCATCCCACGGAGAGAGGTCACACGAGGTCACGCGAGGTCACGCGCACGCCGCGTCGGTGTCAGCAGAGGGGCCGCGCGGCTGGGCTCGACTCGTGGGCCCCGTCCACTCGCAGTGGCCAGCAGCGTGAAGCGGCGTGAAGCGGAGGCCCTCGTCCAGCAGTCGACTGACACACGGGACGTGGATTGACACAACTGCTGCCCGAGAAAGTCTGCCAGTCTCCCCGGTACATTCCAAGTCGTGGGGTTTGTCAGTTGCGTGACAATAGACAGGAAGACGCCACTCGAGACTTGGCGCGCACCTACATGCGGTACGATTCTCTACGATATTACGATATTACTACCCTCCTTGCCAGTCTGTCCCGCTGCGAGTGTCTGTGGTGGCAAGCCCGATTTGACAGACTACAAGTAGAGCCCCTAGAGGCCGCCCCACCGCACTGCTGCTGCGCGTGAGAGCCGGTGTCTGTGTGTGGGTAACGCACCACACGCACGGCGTCCCGCAGTCGCTGCTCCTGTATGGGGGTTGGGCACGCGGCATCCGCGGTGTCCAGCAGCAGCAGCAGCAGAGGAAACAGCAGCAGCAGCAGCAAGGGCGAGACGAGAGGCTCCATGATCCGCTCCGACAACGCGACGCCGCAGCTCTGCAGCTGAGAGAGCGCTGATCGTTACGTCACTCGCGTGGGCGGGGCGACGTCTTCCACTGGCTCTGCCCCCCACCCCCCATGGCGATGCACACGCGGGAGGCGGGGCTAGTGACGTCACCGCAAGCTGGGCCCCGCCCCCAATATTGGTAGGTGGAGCGAGTGACGTCACCGCAAGCTGGGCCCCGCCCCCTATATTGGTAGGCGGAGCGAGTGACGTCACCGCAAGCTGGGCCCCGCCCCCTATATTGGTAGGCGGAGCGAGTGACGTCACCGCAAGCTGGGCCCCGCCCCCTATATTGGTAGGTGGAGCGAGTGACGTCACCGCAAGCTGGGCCCCGCCCCCTATATTGGTAGGTGGAGCGAGTGACGTCACCGCAAGCTGGGCCCCGCCCCCCAATATTGGTAGGTGGAGCGAGTGACGTCACCGCAAGCTGGGCCCCGCCCCCCTATATTGGTAGGTGGAGCGAGTGACGTTACCGCAAGCTGGGCCCCGCCCCCTATATTCAGTTTCATGTATTAGGTATAGCCCTGTGAGCCATTCAGCTCTTGAATCGGGTGCAACCGCAACAAACAAAAACATGAACAAAGAACATTTTAAAGTGACGCCGCGCAAAAGAAACATCCAGGAAAAATAAGAGCAAAAATCTTCCAGAAAAAAGCACCGTATATCAATGATGTGTGCAAAAATCCCAGTGGGATCCAAGTCAAACAATAACAACCATAAGACAATTTAGATTAAGTTATCAGCCGTCCGAGCAGGCGAACCCCCACAGCCCATGGGCCCCGACACGAACACCTGGAGCAGGCGGGCATGCAAGATGAAGCTACTGTGTTCCGTGTGCCATCACAGCTCACAGCCATGCTGCTTCTGTTGATGGCTGGCTCTCCGCAGTTGCCAATTGCGCACACAGCATGTCGTAGATGCCGACGCCGACGGCCGCCATGGAGAGGACGACGATGACGGCACAGTAGAGGCGGAGTTGTAGGGCGTGCGTCTGGCGGCACGCAGTTAAGCTGGAAAGAGAGACTCGTGTCTTTGGGCGCAGTCCTTTGTGTGGAGCCAGGAGCAGCTACAGCGTGGTCAGACCGGCGTGGGGTTTGAATGGAACAGATCGTCTCTACAGTACAGTAGTTGCCATATATTCACAACAGTGGGCAAAGTTTGATGTAGATTGGCGTGGCTCTGCAATCTACTTCGTGGGCCGAGTCTTCTGCGCGGGAGCAGGTGTTATCACTGAGCACACGCATCGATAGGTCGATTATTAATTCCAAATGTTTGTTTGTTCATTATCTGCAAAAAAAGGATATTTTTGGATTATCCGCGATTTTTAATAATCCATGGCTAAGACCTCCCCCCCCCCCCCTCAGTTGGCATGGATAATCGAGAGTCGCCTGTACTGGCATTACAAGTAATAAATTAGCAAAATTCGTCAGTGTAAAAATACGTTGGAAGATGAAAGGGAAGACGACGTCTATGTGCTTGGGATCATCATTGTTGCCTTTGTCACCAGGTCATTGAGCTTCAAGATAAACGGTTTCATTGGCCTTGACAGACGGGGCCAGATCGCTTCTGAATAAGTATAACCCGTAAAAACAAAGTTTTTCACTATAAATCCTTTATATGCGTGGCGGCTAGAGTCCTCTCGTCCTCTGGCTTGAGATGGCTGCCACCTATGGGTCAGATGATTGTCTGCCAGTATTAAGCAATTGGTAATTAAATATTTAAAAAAATTTACCTAAACAGTGTAAAATTTTGGAAAAAAATTTTCACGAACATTAATTGTCTCGCACAACGAGTCTGTGTGCAAAATGTCAGCTCGATTGGATCACGGGAAGTGGGTTAAAAAACGACCAAAAGAGTTGCACGGTCGTAAGCAAGCAAGCATGCAAGCACGCAAGCAAACATGCAAGCAAGCGAACTTAATATAAAGGATTTGAAAAAGCTGTAAAGCTCAGTGGGACTTAACTGGTAAAATATATTTTTAAATAGTGAAGTTTTAAATAGTAAAAAAAAATACTTATTTTTTGTGATTTGCTTACCCTTCCGATATCTTTCCTATACTTTGTTGATTGTTAACTTTTTGACCCGCCCCTACTGGACATCTGTACAAAGAACTTCATAGCTCATCAGATTTCTCCAGGATAAAAAAAAGATTCTGATTCTGACGGTGGGTATGGGATGTAGACGTATCCCCTATTGTCCTGTCTTAATGACCTAACAACGTAGAATGTTGTATGATCAAAGTGTCACAGGTATCTGTTTGATGAGGACTTTCATCATCGATATGGCCCCCGAGGACCTGGAGGGCCAGGGTATGCCTTGTTCCGCCCCGCTCATTAAAATGGTTATTTATAACATGTGCGATGTTGAATTGTCTCTTCAGCACCACGCTCTTTGAATAGAAGCACTCTTACAAAATGGAGCTCTATACCATCCACAAAAGCACCATGCCATAACATCAGTTCCATCTCCCCGCAGCTCACTTGTACACCAGTTTCCTCGCCAGAGGCTGTGGATGATCCTTAAATCTACACATTCATCTTCTTGGTTCTTTCGGTAAAGTCACGTAGAAGGGAAATAATAAAATAATAATAAATTTACCCGTAAAAACAAAGTTTTTCACTATAAATCCTTTATATGCGTGGCATCGGTTTTATTTTATTATTAATTTCTGTTTTTCTTGAGTAAGAGTTTCATTTTTATCACATTGGTATTTTAAATTAAATATAAGGAAAGTCGTATATAAGGACATTGGTCTTTGAAACGGGCGGCTCGAGTCCTCTCGTCCTCTGGCTTGAGATGGCTGCCACCTATGGGTCAGATGATTGCCTGCCACCATTAAGCAACTGGTAATTAAATATAATTTTTTTTTTCCTAAAAAGTGTAAAATTTTGGAAAAAAAATTTCACGCAAATAGATTGTCACGCACGAGTCTGTGTGCAAAATGTCAGCTCGATTGGATCACGGGAAGTGGGTTAAAAAACGACCGAAAGATTTGCATGGTCGTAAGCGCGCAAGCAAGTGAACTTAATATAAAGGATTTAATAAAACATAATAAAATAATTCTCACGACGTTTCGGCCACAACGCAAGCAGCCGTCCTCAGGTGAAGACCAGGTCTGTCGGGGAGACAGCGTCTGAATGAAACACCACCACGCTTGGAGCGTATATTTAAGCTGGGTTGGAAGGAGGGAAGGGCGTCTTGACAAAATAATTTGCATATCAAGAGGGATTTAGCATATTTATGGGAAATGCAGGTATGTGATTAGTACTACTTGTGAAATGCGTAGTAGTACTAATCCCACGGCCTCAACCTCCCAGCACAACGAAGACGAGTCACCATTAATGAAGCAGACAAGTATCTGGGAAATTAGGCACGTGGGATGGGGGTAATATACTTGAGGGTTTCAGAATTTTTTTAACGTGGTCATTTACTTAGGACCCTTTAAAAAAAGGTTTACAACCCCCTATAACCTGCACCCAGCATGCCATCCTCCAAATGGCAGCATCACACATGGGAAGCGAGACTGATTTACCAATGAAGTTATTGAGACGATAATTGAAGGAGTAATCAGTAGCACTGCTCCAGTTAATTTTGCCAGTTGCAAAGCGGTGACCAAAATGGCAACTTGGACACTGCACGTAAATTGGGGGTTTCCACAACAATCTAAAAACCCAAGTTAATTTATATCAGAAAACAAAACACATACAAAATGACTCCCAAAAAGTAGGCGTTAATTTTATTGCAAGGCACATATAGAAGACAAGCTCATATGGACCAGACGTGCCAAGAACATAAGACATTAGATCTGCTACAGGACATCAAACTTCTCTCGGAAATTTTTGAGGGACGTTTTCACAAAATAGCATTTCTAATATCTGAAGCAGGGCACACGCTGCCAGCGGCTTGAAAAATGCCTACATCACTTGTACAAAAAACCCCTATGACGCTTGCTTCAGAAGGAGTTTGATGTCATCCTCAATGCCGATGGTATGGAACTTCCTACTGTAGCGCTTGAAAGGCTGCCCGTCGGGCCCAATCAGGAACTTCTCAAAATTCCACGCGATGTCAGAGCGTGAAACCGGGCTCCATATGATGCTCTTAGGGTCTTGCAGGAAGGAGACGGGATCATCGGATGGCAGGGGAAGCTTCTCCTTGATGAACTCAAAGACTGGGTGCGCATCCTTGCCGTTCACCTCGCACTTGGCGAACATGGTGAAGTTGGGCTCGTAGCCGCTGCCTGGACGCACATACTTCAGGATGTTCAGGATCTCCTCGTTCTGGGTGTTCTCCTATGACACACACACACCGACGTGATAACGATTAAGTGACCACTTTTTTTATTGGAATAGTTTTACCACATCTAACAGGCCTAATGCATTGTTACACCGTGTCATCTCACGAGCAATTCAAGAACGTTTCCATTCTGGTTACCAAAAAAATTAGTAAATTATTTCTGTATGGCACCTCTCCAATCACTAGTATTGAAAACTGAAAGAACCAAGAGAGTATTGAAAACTGTACTCAAAAACATAGTATTAAGTCTCACCTGAGTGACTTCTATTCTCAATGGGACGCAAGCGTAGGATTGATCACCCTGTCGCTGGCCGCCTTTGGGGAGGGTGTATAGTATAAAAGGCCGAAACACCCTAGGACCCAAAGGTTCACTACTGACGATGCGCTCCCCAAAATTCACCAGGCTCACTGTTCATGAACTCTTGGAAGTGCTTGCACAAAGGATAGTAACATCTCATCCTGTGTTCTTTGGAATCACAAAGGCATTTAAAACGATTTCATTAAAAGTTTTACCAACGAATTGTGAAAAGCTCTTGGTTTACGCCCAAAGCCATGGCTTGACACAAAGCAACATCCCCAGGACCACGAGTAATGCCTGTTATTACGCGTACAGTATCTGATAAGACAGGACCACAATGGTCTAAACATTCCAAGTGAATCTGTTGGCCACTCGTTAATGAATCACAGCCGTGTTCAGACTCGGTAAAACATAATGAAAGGATGACAACGCATAAAATATAAAGTACATCATCCACTCCCCCATACTTTGCATAGAGCATGTGCTACATTTCCTAATTCAAAGTCACTGTGTGAACACACAGCAGGTAGTCCTTCTGTAAAACTGGCTCCGAGTCAGGCGCATTGGAGGGTCCAGCGGGGAGGTCAACGGGCAATCAGAGGCGGTCATTTAACCCGCGAGTTTGGGTGCGACGCATGGCGAGTCGGCTGTGGCGAGGAGCGAATCGTGTCTTGTGGCTACTTCTGCGCTAGGTGCCTACAAAGTCCCAGACAGCGTGGGGAGGCCGTCATCCAGCAGTGGACAGAGCAAGCGCCGCCGCCGCCGCCGCTGTGCAGGAGCCAACCCCATCATACCTGGTGGCCGAACTGGTTGCAGGGGAAGCCGAGCACCGCGAGCCCCTGGGCGCCGTAGCGGCCCTGCAGCTCGTTCAGCTGGGTGAAGTCCCTGGCGGTCGTGCCTCAGAGGGACGCCACGTTCTCGATGAGCACCACCTTGCCGCGGTAGCGCGAGAAGTTGACCAGCTCGCCGCCCAGCGTCTTGGCCGACAGCTCGTAGAACGACCTCAAGGCACCTGCCGCTGCTGCTGCTGCCGCCATCGTCTCCGTGTGAAGTGGGGGCGGTGTCGCATCCAGCGCTTATATAGGCGGGCACGGAGCCACGTGACCCGGGGGGGGGGGCGGCTGGGGATGGACTGCGGGTGGAAGGGATGGGCCATTTCCGGATTGAAAGGGACAATTCCTGTGGAATTAACCAGAGCTAAGTTTTGAACTAAAACTTTTTTTTTTACCAGGTAAGTTACACGTAGATCAAATTAAGTCAAAGTGATTTCCTTCTATATTCTTAGGTTTTTTCGGTAAAGTCACGTAGGTAAAAAAATAAAAATGATTTCCATCTGCTCAAATGAGTAATGAGGTGGCGATGATCTCTTGTTTACAGATCCGAGTTGTGGAAATATCTGAATAAGACAACCACCGTTGACTTACAATATGCGACTCATTTTATCGAACAGAGTTCCCAGAATGATGTTGTTGCGTCTGGCAATATGTTCAGGAGTTAAAAGCCAATGTCGGGGTCTGCTCGCCACAAGAGGGCTTCAAGAGAGAGTTGGTTAAAGGAGCGCAGACTGGACAGGAGTGGGTCACTGTGGTCTATAGGAAGGACGATGGGCTGAGTTACCCCCCCCCCCCACCACTACTTGCTGGGGGGTGGCACGTGCTCCCCCCCCCCCCTTCCCCAATGATCCGATCGAAATCCCTCATTTCGATCATTGGTATGTATTAGTGTAGCATATTATTACGTGCCAGGGACTCTGAGATGATAGGACAATAGTCTGAGTCCATAATTGGCAATAAGCAACGTCAAAGCAGTTCTAAGTGACTCCGAATTGTGCGCATTTACGTAGACAGTACACGACTTCCCTGAAGGCATTCACCTTCAGCGAGCGCGATGCCGATCACACAACGCGGTTGGAATTAGACCTTCGATCGATGGCTGCGCCATCGCCGCACACGCGTCGAATAAAAAGCAAGGGACAAGTCCTTACTCCTGAAAATCCTGGCTCTGCCATTGCACCCAACCAGGATGTGAACTTGGACCCTTCAGATTGCGAGCTGCTCGCTCCGCCGCTGAGACACGACTGGTGCCAAACCGATTTAATCTTGTCCATGAAAATAAGTTCACCGATGTGCCCAGTGAAATAAAATAAAAAATTAATCGCACATTGCTCGGACAAAAACGTGGACATTGATTACAATGAAGTGAATTAAATACTGCACTTAAGAGGACAAAGACATGTTCGAATGAGTTCATATATCCCATGAAAGTGCTTGCAATGATTACTTTGCTCAAAGCAGCAGGTTCTGAGTGCGTACGCACACTTATGCATGTTGACGAACTTTACACGTTGCATAACTCCGCAATGATGGAACACGGACACCCCTAGAACTTTATGCGCATCGTTAATCTATCAACCCACCAATTCTGACATAATTCGGTTCTATTCTATACCCATACTCCATGCTTTTGTTGGTGTTGTTGGGTCTTGGCGTTACAATCACAGGGTCACTTGTAGCATTGGACAGCATTGATCAGTGGGAAGCATTGGGCAGAAAGGGAGCGTTGAACTCCACTGGGTGGCAACCATCAGCAAAGCCCCGTTCAATGTTGCCCACCTGCGCCAGTGTTTCTCGATATAAAGGCGTTTTGGATTTCTCGAGACGAAATGTCAGTGGACAGTGACAAATCGCGACTTTCTGGGATAAAGACTCGAAGATTTTTTTGGGGGGAGATTTCAGACGTGTTAAGGATCCGGCTTTAGTTTTCTATGCTTAACACTGGGTAAAGATAAGATTAATATGAACGTAAATATTACCACAGGAGATCATGTGTTGGTGTATTTAACCGCGTTGTCTTGTGCAGTTATTTTACTGTCGTGTACTGTATTGATCACACTGGTGGCTGAGAGCCGGATGTATTATTGTGAAGGAGCAAAATCCAATAATGAAATAGATAGCACAGCAACATACCATACCCTTAATCTCATAAGTACCATTCAGAAAATGTATCCTGAAAGGACCAAATATTGTATAGTTGTGCAATGTTGTACAATTATTTATTTTATTGCATTCGTTTGGTATGAAGATCAGCCACTCAATCCACTGTTTGGCTGAGTTTCACAATCCTGCAATGCAGCCATCCGCATAGCTCCTGCACACAATTCGATCTCATCAATGTCTCCTCAGTCGAGGTGCTCGAGTTTGGCTGCCATTCCTTCATGGTGTGAACACCCAGCCATTTCCCCCAATTGGAAGGTTTCTAGTTCATAGCCTGGTCCGGACATGACTTGCTTGACCATCAAGAAACAAAAATTACTAAACCAACCATGCCACCGTCTGATCCAAATTGGGCACCAAACTGTGGAAGTGCTACACCCTGCCCTCCATAGTGGGCGAATGACAAAACCTTCCTAAGCATGTTGACAGCCAGAATGTAAACTTGAGCCTTGTAAAGGAACACGTCTGTGCACAGGTACTTGTCTTTTTTCAGGGATGTGTTGTGGCAGCTGGGTATGTTGCAAGTCAGCCTTTATCAAAGCACGGGACATTGTTGGGAGCCAACATCTGCTTCACAATCAAAAATGATTTCCAAATCTTGCCCAGATATTTCCCAATATAAAATTGCAACAATGTATAAGACACCAACAGATAACAAAACAAACTTACACATAGAATGCAGACAACGGCATTACATTTATTGCTAGGCACATATAGAAGACAAGCTTGTATGGATCAGGTATGCCAAGAACATGAGACATTAGATCTGCTACAGGACCTCAAACTTCCCTCGTTAAAATTTTGAAGGAAGTTTTCACAAAGTGGCATTTCTAATATCTTCAGTAGGGCACACACTGCCAGAGGCTTGAAAAATCCCTACACGACTAGTACAAAATGAAGGTAAACCTAGCCACAAGCTATTTAACTTGCTTCAGCAGAAACTTGAGGTCTTCCTCAATGTTGATGGTCTGAAACTTCTTGCTGTAGCGCTTGAAAGGCTGCCCGTCAGGCCCGATCAGGAACTTCTCAAAATTCCACGCGATGTCAGAGCGTGAAACCGGGCTCCAAATGATGTGCTTTGGGTCTTGCAGGAAGGAGACGGGATCATCGGATGGCAGGGGAAGCTTCTCCTTGATGAACTCAAAGACTGGGTGCGTATCCTTGCCGTTCACCTCGCACTTGGCGAACATGGTGAAGTTGGGCTCGTAGCCGCTGCCTGGACGCACATACTTCAGGGTGTTCAGGATCTCCTCGTTCTGGGAGTTCTCCTACAGCACGCACACACAATCGCACACCACAAGAAATACAAAGTCACCACTCATTCACAAATAAAACATGTATACACACACACACATCTGTTTAACTGTAATAGTATTAACGTGATGGTTTTAGGTCAACAGAACCAAATGAATAATAATGCAACAGTGTAAATGGCAATACAATAACACTGCTGTACTGGTTAGCAACAACAGATGTGTTTTAGCCCCTACAATGTGTATTCACCTCCTATGAACTTGCATGTAATAATATATTTTGTATGTCCCCAAAGCTTCTGAAATATAATGGGGGGGGGGGGGGGGGGGTAAGTGGGCGAGGCTGGTTTCACCGCAATAATGTGGAAAGTCTACCACAACGACCATCAATTACAGCAAGGGGATGGACCAAAAATACGACTGCCTTGATGCAGATTGCCTTCAAGATATTTGATTTCATCATGTTTATTAATTGCACACTTACTATAAACAACCTGAAGAAAAATCAACTGTCTAAAACTTTAAGCAAGTTTAAAAAACAAGTAAATTCCAATAAATACGGACATGAATGAATGTCCTTTCATTGGAAGCTACCTCTCCCTGGCAAAGCATGGCAAGTCTGTTTTTTTGCAGAGCAACATCGTAATAGATGCTACACGGCTTTAAACGCATACCTCGGGAGTGACATTTACCCTCAACCTAAACGTTTATTATTTTAAGAATAATAAATATATTATCCAGCTGTAACAGGTCATCTTTTAAGTATGTCAGTCGTTCTATATTGCCTTGTGGTTTATTCCTCTGTACTTGTAGTGCAAATCCTAGTTAACTAAAAAAATTAACGGACCATAAAAAACGTTTGTATGTATAACCTCTTTCGTAGCCAATTGTGCTAAATCGGGAGGTGCATTTAAAAATGCAGACAATTAATTTACCCAAGGCCACTGACAAAGAGGGGTCTCGCCCCAATGGGCTTTTAACAGGTCTTCGACTCCTACCTCCAATGTTTCAATAAAAGTCTTACGAACAACCAAGGCTTGTCAAACTCCACCATACGAGTTGAATGATTAATAGACTTGAGCCCAAGATATGCCTTTAAACCAAAACGGCATTCCAAAGTTCATCATGAATGACAGAGGTCTGAGGACTAAAACCACAACCATGCATTTTTAGCAATGTACCAGTCTACTGCTGTGGTCAATAAACCGCACCCTTGTTCAACCTGGAATGCAACGACATTGGGTAACATTGACTCAATGTCCAAAGGTGTATTTAATATGCTTCCCTCTCCACTGTGTAAATGCATGCAAATAGAAGTATTTAGTAATATGCAAAGGAACACTTCACTGGTATTTACAACACAGTTTAACCGCCAATAACTATTCTTGCAAGGACTCGGATGACTGCAGTAAAATAAATCCAGATTTATTACTATGAGCCAAGAATGTCTGTGTGTCCCGCACGTGACATCACTCCACATGCCGCCCTCCCCCTCCCCCCATCATTAATATTAGCGGGTGGATTTTTATACTCACGCATTTTTTCCGCAAATTCGCTGTAAGTTTGACTTTTCTTTATTGAAAGTGAATCTAACAAATAATGATATGCAGCAACAAAATGGATTTGGTGTCTTTATTCATTTCTTCATCACTTGAGACAAAAGGCAAGTCTAATTTATGCTTCTACATTGTGGTAAAATAGACATTTCTCGGTGATTTTCCAGATATATTTTATCGATTTCCAATTTATTTCAAGCCCAGCGACCGAAAGCAGAAGAGAATAAAGTATCAGAGCAGTGAATTTGAACAAATTAAAGGTCAGTTATATATATAGTGCTACAGTGACGTGAAGGGAGGTGTTTTAGGATATAGTTTTTTTGCCAGAATCAATGTCATTAATGCAGTGCTACAGTGAAATGCAGTGAAGTTTTTATGATATACTCGTGCAAGATTCACTGCCATTACATTTACACAAGATACAATTATACTCGGCTCCATTTTTTCGTAAATATTACAGCTTCCGTCCTAGGACGGGCAAAGAAGCTAGTGTTAAAATAGCAATGTACAGTACTTAAACATTTTAAAAAGTGCTACGGAAGAAATTTCTTCTCATGGATATTCCGTATTAAAAACGTCTATTTGGAGAGCAGGTGATCACAACCAAGTTCACATATTGCAATAAGTAAACAGGTTTATGGAGACATTTTAAGTCCTTGTTCTGACCGCTCTTTGGAAAAGTAGGTGGTCATATCTATGGGACACTTTTGCCAGTATCAAGATGCCTTGCGATGGGTGTTTATTTATCTTAACACCTGCTGCTTTCTTGCCGGGTAGTCATGTTCAGTCCCAAGCCATTGCTGTACGATCACACATGGCAAGGTGGTCGCCCATTAAAACGCAACCGCGGCTCAACCTTGCTTAGCTCAAGATAAACTAGACGGGGTGGGAATCCAAGACCCAGGAGAGCGTCATGTGTAACAGACACGTGCGATGAGTCACCAACATGGCACAATAGCTGCCCGGTCCCGATAAAACCGGGCGCATTCCGGACGATGTAATCATAGGCAAATGTCTGGTCACATACAAACAAAACAACACGTGTCCCTATCGATGTGGCCGCGGATGCGCTCTGTCCGGCTAACATCAGTGTCGAGTGTGCTTTGAAGCGGCCCAGGGCCACCGCGTCACCAATCCTCAAAACCCACGTTAAGTTTGGTCAAACACCTCCCACCCCATCATACCTGGTGGCCGAACTGGTTGCAGGGGAAGCCGAGCACCGCGAGCCCCTGGGCGCCGTAGCGGCCCTGCAGCTCGTTCAGCTGGGTGAAGTCCCTGGTGGTCGTGCCTCAGAGGGACGCCACGTTCTCGATGAGCACCACCTTGCCGCGGTAGCGTGAGAAGTTGACCAGCTCGCCGCCCAGCGTCTTGGCCGACAGCTCGTAGAACGACCTCATCGCGCCCGCACCCTGCGACAACGCTGCCGCCATCGCCTCCGTGTGGGAGCGGTGCCACCGCCTCGCGCTTATATAGTCGGGCACGGAGCCACGTGACCTGGCGGGGGTGTGAGGGGGGGGCTCGTGTCATGTGACTGGAGACCAACACGTGGGTGATTGTGCTGCTGCTGTTGTTGACAGTGCTGCACAATGTAGGACACAAACATGCAGCAATAACATCGTGGCCTTGACAGGAATTGTGTACAATAGGCAGGTAATGATCCTTCTTCACAGCACATACAGAGGCCAAACTGAGTGGGTAAGATTGAGAGACACCACTTTATACTATGGGGTCTGATATTGGCTGATCAACAGTTTGTGCATCATCCACTTAGTGACGCATTCCTCGAACGGAAGATTTGTTCATTGTTGACAGATCCGCAGATGAAAATACTGAAGACTCGTAAACCTTTTTTGTAAATGTATACGTATAGGGCACATAAATCACACAGATACCTTGCTCACAGAAAACGCATCTGTTTAGGTTATGAAACGTGTTCTATATAATAATAGTAACATTTTCAACTTGTAACGCACTCCCTCTGGAAGAGAGAGCGAGTCAGAGAGACCAAATAGCCCCCGAGAGGGCCCCTCTCGAGTTCTCTGCAGCGCAGGCCTTCTGCCAGCAGTGGCGTGAGCCAGCAATTGCAGGGCTGCGCCTTTCCTTTGGACTGCGCTGTTTTTCTACACGACAGGTTTACAGACACAATGAGGTGACTATATTCCCGATGGGATCTCTAAGTCAGTCAATGCTCTGGTAACCAAATACATGGCAGGATTCTGAGTTATCTGGTTCCACTGCCCACATCCGTACGTCCGATGAACACGGTTGGCGATGTAAAAGTAACAAACTTAAAATCTAGATTAGGATTCGGGCTGTCCGTGGTCATACCGGGACAGGTGGCAACATGTTTTCAGGAAGTTATTCTGTAACATCGCTTTGATTGCTTAGCAAATCAATATGTGTGTATGTAATACAACTTCCCCTTGTCTGAGATGACACGGATAAAAATGGGACCCAGTCAGCAATGGGAAATTATAACGTCTCAATTACAGAGTTATCAGGGGCAAGCATGGAATCGGGGGCAAGCATGGAATCGACGGCAAAAAGTCAACGCATCTCCCACACCAGAATGTGAGGTAGTGAATTGTCCTCATTCACAGTCGTGAGCAAATGGTGGACATTTCACATTCATTTGGCGGGGCCAGTCGATCAAGGTATTCCTGTTGACTTCTCACAAGATGATACTTCTTCTAATCCCGCGAGTGATGCAGGGCTGAATTGACCATTGGCAGGTGTTGAACCCATGACCTTCAGATTGCGCGTCAAGGTCGTCTGTAACCACAACACCAAGCAGCCGGTTAGAGGTACAATGCAATATTAAATAACAGTCTTACATTTCGTAACACTGTATCTCTTTCAATAGATACACACGGACAATACATTGCAGTGTATACCTTTGTAAAATAATTATGAGAGGTCAGGTTTCGAGTTTAAATCCTAGTTAGTGGTTGACTCCGCTCATCATCTCTCCTGGGTCAATAAAATGAGTACCACTTTGTGGGGCAGTCAACAGTGGTTGTCCTATACATTTACTCATCGACGACATAAGAATGTGGAGTTTCCACCACTGGCTAATGGATGTAAAGAGGGGATGATGCTTATGAGCAGGGCATCATGTTAACGTTTTCTTTTGGTTTAACCACTGCCATTGCCCATCTCTACGCACTGAGCCAACACAGTGCGACCACCCTGCACGCTTCTCAATGGCCCTGTGGAAGGTTGACACATTGTACGTTACTAAATATACAACGGAGTGCTTGCAAACACAATTGACCCTGAACTGTTTATCACGATGGCCTGGGAGGGTTACCCATTTGTGCAGACCAACGTGGGCAGGTCTAGAATTGATCCCTTGCGGTTATGCATGTGATGACATATTCCTGTCATTCACATACAAATGTGGATTTATTGTACTGTACAAAGCAAATTGACTTTGATGTACGGTATGTTAGATAGGGTCTCCACCTGTATGTGCCTGTGTGTGATAATAAAAGTGTCGCGCGCACATTGCTTGCATACAAAACATTACACCACCTCATGTACACAGTGTGTGCACCATTTGCCGTACACACAGCAGTCGTCAATCACGTGCGGTGCCGGTTTGTAGAAATGGGCCCGTAAGATAAAACTTTTAAATGGCATTTTCCATTGCACACTCGGATCCCCTTCGGGCCGCTACCTCTCCACAAGTCGACAGCCTCTTCAGCAGCAGCAGCAGCCTGTGTCCCTTGATAACGACTCACCGGCTTCTTCCTCCCAGTGGGCGCGTCCTCTGTTGACCTCGCCTCGGGGGCCGATGTCTCAATCGCCCGTCGATCGGCATCACACAATAGCTCTGGTTATTATATTTATGCCTCCATCGCAACCTGATTGCAACAGATCCCTCGATCGCCAGACTGCAAGGACGCCACTTTCAACGACGTTGAGTCGCAAGGCCACCAGAGGCCTTCCACCATATCCGTCCATTATTAGAAACCACAATTTAACCAAACGCGTTCAACACGATACATGGAATACAAGGCTGATGACGGTTTATTATAAAAACATAAAGCAGAGTGGAAAAAACATACGGGGTAACCTTAACTGAAAGGCTATGTGTCACTGATGTGTGAGAGGTTATTTTACAAATGAAAGGGTTTGTCTCCAATGTTAGAAAGGTCATATTGCACAGCACAGTAATGAGACATTTATAGACTTCATTATTGCGAATCCGTCGTGCCTTGTACGTCTGCTGCAATTGACCACGAACTCGCTTGACTGATTGAGGCTGGTTCCCTCACACGCGGCTGCATCAGCCCAGATTCAAAGGCAGCAGCAGCATCTCAGCAGCAGCATCTCAGCATCTCAGCAGCAGCATCTCAGCAGCAGCAGCATCTCAGTATCTCAGCAGCAGCATCTCAGCAGCAGCAGCATCTCAGCAGCAGCAGCATCTCAGCATCTCAGCAGCAGCATCTCAGCAGCAGCAGCATCTCAGCATCTCAGCAGCAGCATCTCAGCAGCAGCATCTCAGCAGCAGCATCTCAGCATCTCAGCAGCAGCATCTCAGCAGCAGCAGCATCTCAGCAGCAGCATCTCAGCAGCAGCATCTCAGAAGCATCTCAGCAGAAGCAGTAGCAGCTCAGCATCTCAGCGCTCCGACCTCTGAGCCACATGGCCACCTCCAAGGTGATTAACTCGTGAGATGAACCGAACCGTTCGTCTCGAAGCAGAGAAAATCAGTGACCCTCGCAACACCAACCTCGTTCTGACTGAGCGTTCTACACCTGCAGCGAACCACCCGCGTCAACTCTGTGCCACATTTAATATTTTCGCTTCCTCTCGACGTTCTCCACTGTCACCACCCCCTCGTTGTGCTTGCGAGAGCGGCAATGTTCCACGTGTGGTGAAGTATGTCCACATAACCCCGCAGACCGCACGCCACGAGGAGGCCGCCGTCCAGCAGTGGATTGACACAAATGCTCTACAGTATATGGAAACTATACATCGTCGACATAGCACACACATTGTTTGATTCTCTTTGTTTTAACTTTGTTCCTTTGAAGATTTGAGCTTCTGTATTGTGTGAAGATGCGCACACCGAGCGAGTCGTAGGGTCTTCCCAACACCAGCCTGCGACAGACGACAACGACACGAAGTGCGACTTACCACTAAAGCTTTGATGTGGTAGCAACTTTAGTTTACAAAGGATGTGCAAATTGGAACTAGATACCGGGAGATTGTGTAACCTAGGAAATTCTGTACTGTGCAAGATCTATGTCCAGTAACAATGCATAATGCATCCTGGTGTCGAGTTCTGCAACCTGAAACAGAGGACAGTGACGAGAACGTGCTTGTCACTATTGTATGGTATTACATTATAATACAAATAGTCAGAGGCTATACTCTGAGTGTCCTGGACCCATGAAACCTTGTTATGTTGTTATTTCAAAATATAGCCGAGAAAAAAAGACAAAGATCCCCCGTGTAGCCTTAACAGACTGTAGGGGCAAGTGCTGTTAGAGAGTACCTATGAAAGCCGGCACGGCACACGAGTGGGTGGGTGGCCAACACCACGCCCGGCCGCCTTTGTCTCTCCAGTGACGATGTTGACACATCTTACCGCTGCACCACCGCCGAGCAACGTGACCGCTGTCACGGACATCTGCTGGGTTTGTATTTACCGTAGTCCCATTGTCCATAACATCTCGGAGTCATGTGGGTGCTGTCGGGTGAAGTATGGCTCACATTACACTACTACAGTATTGACATCAGGATGATAACGCTTTTGGACACGTGACCATGTCATCTGAGACAGCTAAAAGATTTGCCATAGAAAGTGCATTAAAAGAAACAGCTTTAAAAAACATTAAAGTATGGCTTTACCCAACTTTTTATGTAATTCTGGAGTACAGTACTACAGCACGTGTCTCATTTGAATCAATTCCCGGCTGCAATTAGTTGCATTGAGAGCAGGCTTGGAATTAATGTGTATAAAGTTGTGCTTTATTATGGTGAGCTTGATATTTGTTTACATTTTCTAAACATAACATTTAAGTTTTTGTAACATTTTTGAATAATGTATTAATACTGTTTATATATATATGAAACAATTCACATTTTATATATAACAATTCACATTAAAATCTAAAAATATGTTTTCAGTCACTTTGCAGAGAAGGAAAATATTGGAGGCAAGTCGTCGTCTGCAGTGAGTCTAAGCCTACGTGCTAAACTGTAGTGAGTGTTGTTGATATTCAGAAACAAGACCCACCGTTCTTTGACATACGCAGAGGTGACCTCTAACACGGGGTGCACCCAGTGTGACTCACTGCCAGTTAGATCAGCCTTTAGCTTGGGTTTGTGGTTTCCCCTGGAGTGTTTGATGACATCAAGTACACGGGCAGGGTCTTTGAGCAGCGATGGTGGGCAAGGCTCTCCCACTGAGTGGCAACGCTGCAGGTTCTGCAGCAGA